CTGATTCTTTTTGAGACTTTAAACATGATTGTTCTCTATCATTTTTTTTCATAAAATCTCAATTAGATTCAGAATGGACTCTTATTTACCGCATTTCATAACGTGGTTACCAATTACTGAAGATTTTCAGCCCGAGAGACGGTTGTCTTTTGAAATCGTAGATCAACCAGTCTCAACACTCAAGCGAATAATGTGAGTCAACATTCGAAAAAAATTGTAAAGTTCCAAGTTAACAGCACAGGTGGCTATATAATGGGCTTACGATCACAATCATTCAGCTCTTTATCAGTCCACCCTAATTCTAATGAAACTAGAAAAAAAGGAGTGATGGAAAAGAAACCAAGCTCATTTTTTTTATTATTTTATCGCACCCTTCCGTCGAAGGCTACGATCTCGTCTGGCGTTGACCCTATTAGAAGTTTCCGACAAACAAAAGGGTCACTTCTGAAGAATTTTTCGCTAGGACGAAGAGTTTTAATCACTCTCAGTACATTATCACTTCTAAAGAATTATTCGCTAGGACGAAGAGTTTTAATCACTCTCAGTACATTATTCTAATGTTGTAAGCCTACGCTTTCGCTTGTGATTTGCCGTAGTCAATTACGGCCACTTTTCATGCGCTAAATTATGGGTTTTAACCTGATCTTATCACTATTGGATTGGTTTATTAACCAGTTTGAATACTAATGGACCCCTCACTTACCTCAGTTTATCATGATATTCACTTCTTCTTAATCAGCAAATCTTCTCCCTTCGTTTCCACGTCATGTAGCATTCCTCCATTATTTCTAACAAACAGGAAAAAATGCTACGCTAAAGGCGGAGCTCCTCCGATATCAACCTCTATGCTTCACTGTTTGTTCAGTGCTATTCTCCTAACAATATTTGTTGGATTTTTGTATGGAAATATGCTCACCCCAATAAATTATTTGGTGTTTCACAATAGTGAGACAGGCTATCCCTCCGATCTTTCGTCGTATTTCTTCTCGTACAGTTTTGGAGCTTTACTAACCTCGACACTGATATTCATGGTCTACTCAGGAGTAAAGTGAGCTATCTGCTTCGTTTGATATCTACTTGTTTCCGCTATTAGCTCAAATTAAGGTTGAATCGTCCCTTTATAAACCCTGAACTAACGCTGCCATCACTTGTATCAGGAATTGTCTATGCGATCGCTACTTACAGCTTCTTCGTGGCTAATCAGCATCTTGAACAGGTAACTCAAGTGTAAAAGGTAAGAAATTGGCTCAATCGACCCAATTCACTCACCCAGTGAAATTGGATTTCCTTATAACTTAACTGTTGGAGAATACGTGTTCAAGAAAGCCACAGCATCTTGGAAAACCAAAATGCTCCTCAACGACTAGCCTTCAGGCCTATGTTCCAAGAAGGCAACGGAAACTGAAGAGAGGTTTAATGAAGAAAATGAAATATTCTGGAGTTGCTATAAGAGAACAGGGAATTATGTAGAGCACCAGTATGTGAAGATTGCGGTAGAGGAACTTCCGCATAGGAGATGTAGTTTCGATAGAGCCAAGTTAGAATGTGGACAAGGTTTTGTCGTTCATATTCATATTTCGCTGGCAGGGAATACCGCTCAATAGATACGGGTGCTACTGTAGATGATGTGTTATACGCGACCTTCTTAGGATGGCACCCATCTATCCTAAGCGGTTCCTTATGACAATGAGGTTTTTCGTTTTACTACGATAAGTAAGCCTGAAACACGGATGATAGAGCAGGGTGAGTGATAAGGTCGAGTTTGTGCAACACCAGCAAGCAAACACCTGTTCCCTTTGCCAGACATTTTTACAAATAAGACTATCAGATTACTGGAAGCAACTGTAACAAAGCGATACATTCTTTGGGGGCCTCCAATGTTCCTGATCATTTTCTTCCTTATGGGTCAGAGTGCTGTGTATTCTACATTCTTTCATTTTGAGCAGCACCGCTTAAGTTATTGCATTTTGAATGCTTTGCTTTTCAGTTTGCTTCTAACTGACTAGTTCTTTTTATTACTTCATGATCAATTTCAGACGATAGCTTATCCGATTCTTACGAAAGCACCTGGAATCATTGTCTCCTTGTGGGCGGTCTTCCTCTTCAAAGAAATTAAGGTAAATTTTTTGTGACAACCTATTTTTTTCCAAAACAAATTCATGTGCAACTTTTACGTACTGAAGGCACAGTTCACGATGAAGGTGGTTCCTGGAATTTATCCCAGAGATAACTTGTGACCTTCTGTGATCACCTGTATCGCCTGTCGTCTCGTTGTTCGTCGATTTCCTCGAGCGGGCGCCAGTAACGTCTCCATTCGTCCCTTTCACTAGCCAGAGTGGTCCAGTTAATCGGCCTTGCTTCATTGATACGAGGTCCAACATTTCTTTCGTTCAGAGCTTTCGTGAAGAAATCTGACCATCTCGTTGACGGCCGTCTTGGAGCTCGTTCGATGTCCCAAGGGATCCAGTCAGTAATCGCCCTGGTCCAACGGTCATCACCATATCGCATAACGTGTCCTTCCTTCCTTAACGTGATCTTCGATTTCTTGGCGTATCAACGGCATCCTCGATCTTCGTTCGACGAAGGAGCTCGGAACTCCGGATTCCCTTCTGCACTTGCGTGTATAGGGAGTTTCCGAGCATCGTCCCTTGTCTCTTCCAAAGTGCGTTGAGTAACACTACTTCAAAGCAGGAAGGGCCGCAGTGTCGAAAAGATGAACTGGGAGCCGATGTTCTTCGTCTTCTTCACTACTCCCTCGCCTTCTGTGATAGAGAATCAAAAAACGGCTTAGATAAAACGTAATAAGGACCCAAAACTGACTCAGCCGACGTACACCCCTGAGGGGGACGAGTTAAGACGTTGTAGATATTGTAGATGATGCACCATCCAGACCGAGACGCACACATTGCACGCAGGCCCTCAGGGCTTCACTATGCCGGTCTATCACTTCCATTATTCGTCTAAATCTAGACACTGTGAAATAACCGTGGACTTTGCTTTCAAATACACTTGACAACGACTTTCATCATTTCCCTGGATGTTTTGGAAGAGCAAAGCCACTGGAGTAGGCAAAAATGAATTGCGTACTCTTCCAGACAGTGATTCCATTTAGGGAAGCGAAGGTCATATTAATAGAACTATCCTTTCAGGGCTCTCGCGATTTAGCCATCTTGGTCACCGGCATCTCCGTCACTATTGCAGGGATAGTGCTTATATCACTGTCAAAAACTCAACTTTAAGATACCTTCTTAAAATTGAAAGTTGTTCGTGAATGTCAGCTATAAACCGGTTGAGCGATTCTGATATACCTTCCTTCCACATTTTTGGTGTCCAAACATCAGTACGCTACCATGTAAACATTGATTTTACTTTAGCTTACGCAGTTCGCCAGAAACAGCATCCGGGAAGGTCGGGGAGTCGATGTTCAATCAATTAGTTCCAAAAATAGTCAATCTTCTTAAGCTCTTATTTCCTGCAGTATTCCTTGGTAAAATGGATGTCGCACTCGATAAACGCCAAAGCTGCCCATCGACGAAATTATAAGCTTCCGGCAGAATCCCTTCGAGGTTCTCGAGCAGCTCCCAGCACTGGTTCCACTGTAAACTGTTGCTCAATCAGGGTAGAATCGCCCAAATGAAATATGGGCTAGGGGTGGTACCAAAAACAACTCACCTTAGTGACTAATGACTGGGTGACTTTGGTTTCTTGAGGTATAATCCGAGAGGTACAGTCGTTCCACCATCTGCAGGCCTGAACCTTTCCAGAATAGTCAAGAATCTATGATTCTACATTTTTTGCTGTGCCATTGAGATTTTGTGGAGTTAAGAGTAGTAACAAGAAATTTTACGATGAAACGGTTAGCATGGAACTTCCACTTCGAAGATTTGAAGCTATTTGGAAAACCTAAGTGAATGTTTTGAAAAAACCAATTCGAATGAAATGGTCACTCTACCATAACTGAAACAAAATGAATAGAAAGTGCAGTTTTTTTTTGAATAACCCTTAAAAGATAATACGGGCAAATTAGAGCCCAGGTAGTCAGTTCGCCAACAGGTTACGCCCTCGGATGGACGAAGAAGGGAGCAAGTCACATTCGGCAGCTCCTCTTCCGATTACTGTGCTGAGGATCCCAAAAGATATCGAACACAGCTTTTGAGGCTTATCTTCGATATGTCTTAGCAGGCAGGCGGTCCACTTTCATTGTCAAAATCACTAGTAGAGATATGAAGTTAGAGCCTATCGATGATGCTTGATACCATTTCAATTACCATTTTGGTGAATAATTCATCGTAATGCATTGAAGTACTTAAAAAGGTCAATAACATTACAATTTCACGGACTTCATTGATACTAATAGAAGCCTGAAACCCCATTTTACAAAAGTATCGTGGTACAGTAGGATATAAGTCTACGAAAGAGTCACCTCACCTGTTTAGATACAGAGAGTAATGCATTTCAGCTTGAACGCAGTGAAATAAGTATTTAAGACACAGTTCAAGTTAAAAGCAGATTTTGAGATTTCTTCTTAGGATGAACCCGTGATCCCAAGGATCCCATAAGGGACGCTGTCGGGTCGAAAAACTCAAAATAGGTCGCAACACGGACTCTCAAACCGGATTAGCCGACTTACACACCCAAGGTGAGCAAGTGTGCAATATCTGAAGAGGAGGCACCAATCGCACCGGGACTCACACCTTGCACAAAGGCAGCTTACTGAAGCCAGCATGCAGTGGCGCGCGTATTTGAACAGCTCGTCCAAATACACCTTTTATGCAACTTCGGCTGCCACATTCTCGACTACTCCTGGTTTTTCATCTTTTTTTGAAGCCTATTTCTCTGATCACGCCAAATTTGGCGTTTTCGTTACCACTCTTGCATTATTTGGAGTATCACTTCCATTATTCGATAACTAGATACCCTGACACCATCGTGAACTATGCCTTCAACGTTTTGTTCTGCCAGTCGTCTACAACATTCATTTTATTATTAAAATTAAGCTTTACGTGAACTGACAATTTATGGCGTAATTCTTCAAGAGTCCCTGCTACCCATTAGCGTCAAGCGGGTGACAGAGGATAAGCATTGAAAGTGGTATCACCGTCTTGAGCAGTGACAAAGATTTTTACTACCTCCGTTCACATAAAAAAATTATTACAGGTCTGGCACAGTAAACCACATCCCAACCAACAATAAAGACAAGAATAAATGAGTCGCTCAAAGACATAGAAAAGTTTCAATATAAGTCTGAATTTTCAAGTAGACAATTTCTGGTATTTCTATGGCACTGAACTTTCGGATGTGGTTTTGATGTGTTCCATAACAAAACCGACTAGTACCATTGAACAAAAAAAAGATATCGCCCACAGTGCTTGCATCGCTCAGAAGGGAGAACGAGAAAATGGATGGATAGTTGACTTTCGTTGAAATTACTTCCTGACCAAAAGCAAAATACGCTGATGGGGGAATAGAAACTGGATAAGGTATAGGATTATTACGTTAACGGTTACTCATCTCTACCTTCAAGCCCTACCAATTGGGTTGGCGCCAGTACAGCATAACGATGTGCGACAGCAGTGGCAGAAAAGTGATTTCTGAGGATGCAATATTTATCGAATAATCGCACTTAATTTCCTTTTATAGCACAGTAACGAACACTTTAAGATCACAGAAACAATATGCATTACATTTTCAAAATCCTCCAATTTTGACAACAGTGGGCACAATTTTTTGGTAAAAATGGATACAACGCTTATGGTTCAACATGTTTTCAATTCACTCAGAATCGACGACACACAAACTGAAGCCGATCGACCGTGTATGCTGTAGCAACGGGATGATGTTTGAATTCACTCGTTGTACTGCTTCTCCCATTCCTCAAAAAGCTTCACCGGATCGTCGCGTCCCTTCTCCTAAATTCGCATCATCACCTTTGCTGAAAAGGGTTCGTCTAATTCGAAATGGTCAAATTATTTAGAAAAAGACCCAAAGTGAGTTAAGGTCTGAATGCAATAGCATTTCTACATCTTAATGTCCAATAATAAATTGGAATGTGACGAGATTAGGGTATAAGTTGTTATAGTCCTAAGTAGAAACGTGTAACGAGCCACTGACATGGTGGCACTTGAAAACGGCAATCAAGACCCTTGCAATTATTTAGGGAACCGAGAGAATCAGGTGCCTATTGATTGAAGTGAAGCTGAAGCACCAAATGGGCATATCGCTCGAGAATGGCCCTTAACATTTGTTCACATTTTCACCATCGGGCCAAGAAATACAAGATGTCAAACAGGCGTTCCTGAACAACGAACCATGAAGAAAGCTGTTTGTGTTCGTTCTACAGCCTGCAACATACCTGAACTTGATTCCGAGCGTCAGCTATAAGTATGGAGCCGTCAGGCTTCAGCACCTTGAGAGCAGGAATCGTCGGGACCTCATATTTTGCCAAGTATTCCCTGAAAACGTGGAAATTGCAATAACATCGTTCAAGAACTCCGCATTGGATCAAGTATGAGCCTTAACATGCGACTCCCGCGCTTGAGGTAATGATAACAGCGGATGATTTATGATAACAGGTGATAAAGTATCAACTTATACTCCTTCCTTACTCTACTAATTATTTTCGCCCTATGCCTATCCTCCACAAGAATCCTCGGACGACATTCAGAGATTTGATTTGAACTCTTAAATTCTTACTGGATTCTCTCATCTCCAAAAGGTATAGCCAACCAGCCACCACAATGATCTACGAGGTATTCCTGAAATAGGATCGAATTTATGCATTAAAACGTCTACTAGTACATATGAGAAGGCATATGCAACGAAAATACTAATAATAAAAGGTTCTATTGGAAAAGTCTTCTCGATGTTGTTCGTTTTGATAGAGAAATGTAACGAAACGATAGCACCCAGTTGAAAGTTTCACATTTAGCCGAATAGGTCATCCATCAAAATTATAACAGTATATTGGACTGATTGGCAATGGCACCCTTCTGCCAATTTCTTTGCTCGAAATGGAAACTTGCTAGGGAAAGTGGGTAGTACCAGAAGCCCTCTCTGGTCGAGTAACTAGGCTCATTGCTCATCAACTCATCCAATAGTTAGCAACGGTGTGGCAAGAGAAGATGGGGATCGTTGAAGATTTATTATTTCAAAACTCTAACAGTGAAGCTGAACTTATCAGAGGGTTATCGGTAAAGAAAGATGATATTTTGGGCTATATAAGATATCCACAAGCCAGACTTGTCAGAACACCAGGTTCTTCATCTTTTGCTTGTAGTCCCCCCTCATGCGAATCAAATCAACGGTAAAAGTGGAAGACCTATTTTGCTGGTTTTTGGAGATATTTCGTTCGCTTTCCTTCATTACTAGTTACTAGCGGGTAGTCAGCACCCTCTAGCACTACACATATACTATTTTTGAGGCACATGCAACAAGTATCCAACCTTTAAGTCTTCATCCTCACGATCTCGTGACACAAGAACTATTTCCAAATTCTTGCCAGCCTCCTTCAAACTCTGGTAGAACCTCTAAAAGCAGTACATCGTGTTCACTTGGTTGGCAGAAGAAGAATCATTGAGTTGAAAAACGGTAGATTAAAAGTTCTCACGGCGAGTTTGGGAGTGAACTGGCGACAAGACGGACACCACATAGCCGAAAAGTACAGTGCAATTATCTGAAGAAGGGATTTAGCAAGCATAGTGAATAATGGTGTGTGTTTAGAAAAATCTAAGTACATCGAACTCGGATGTCAACCGCGGCCGCTCTAGGTGCAGGAATCTTCTCCGCTCTCCCAATCCTCTATTTATTGGTTTTGTGTTCAGTTATGGTATTTATGGTCTTGTGCTAGCTCTACTCGTAAATTAGGGTGATAGTAGCAGCTCGATATCCCCACTATGATGTAAATTCGATAGTTCTTCGAAGGGGTTAGGCTCCTCTCGGCAAACCGAGACGATTGTTATCATCACCCTTTTGGGTCGCGTGAAATGGCGCGCATGAATAAATAAATAAACAAATGATCTTTAGGGATTAAGAAATGGTCAGGGTTCAGTCAGATGTTCCAATTTGCAATTCAAAATGAGTAAGGTTTCTCCAGAGAGGAAGTCGGATCAGCAGGAATGCTAGAATGCTTCGAAACGACCAGAAAACTCGAGGTGGAGAACAAGGTCAACCGCTAGAAAAGAAACTTAGAAGAACTAAATATGATTTCCAGCATGTACAACATAGTTTTTGGGGCATTTAGTAAAATCAAGTTTGAAACAAAGATTGCATAGTGAAAAGGGGAAACTGGTAAGGACGCACCTTCCCTTCAAGAGCCTTTTCCGCATTGATTTCTTTGCCATCAGGTCCAAGAAGCGGTTTTCCAACGAAGAGCTCCATCTGATTATAAGATTCAAGCATAGTTCAAAAAGAACGATCACAACGACTGAACTGATCGGAATCACTGGAACCCATTTATGCTCTGGTGGAAAATTTCAGGAAGGAAGAGCGGAAAGCTGCTGCTTCTAATGATTAGTTACCCCGTTACCCACAATGGCCGCCTTAAACTTGGTTCGTACAACATGGATAGCCTATCAAGTAAGGTAAAGGCAAGAAGAGGAGTAGGCAGACAACACCTGACCACTATTGGCCCATCCATCATGTCCATTTCTGCCATAGCGGCAGTAAACTTGGTTCCAATGCAAATTAACATCTGTTATATTTTGAAGGATTCATGGAAATTTCGTACCGGCCCTACTTCGAGATCATAACAGAGGGAATGATAGCAGAATTTGCCAGGGTGCAAGAACAGAGACAGAGAGAATTGGACCGTAGCTCGAGAATCGACCAAAGAACAAAGACGATGCATTCACTCAGAAAACAATATGAGCCAGGAAATGAAAGGTCCCTTGTCGTGCCAGGCACCGTGAAAAATTACTTCCGAATTTTGTTGCACTTTCAAACCATGTAACAAGGTTCAGGAATCGTTATTGATATGTTGAATGATAGTCCTACAAGAACAACAGGGAGAAAAAATAACCGTCAAAGGGAATCATCTCAAAGAGTCTTTTGAAATGGATGACGTTTAAGAGCATCTATAGAATCAAAGCGCTGGAAGCCCTCGAGACATGATTATTTTCTGCTTGTAACTGCCATTAAAACGATTCGTTTTTGTGTTTGCGTGTATAAAGATATACTTGCGTTTACATTCACGTCAAGGGCAGAGGTGGCATAGTGGTAAGCGCTGCACTATCACACATGCATGATCACGGGTTCAGATCCCACATCTATACCCCCTAGGCTAACCAAGCCTTTCATTTCTACGGAGTCGCTCAATTGGTACCAGACTCGTCTGGGAGGATAAAAGCACTGACTTGTACATTGGCTAGTCACCGCGGGTTATTGTATCGTTCACATAAGCATCTAATACGCCACTCAGGTTTTAGATAGCCGAATGCGGGGCGCATCTCTGAGATGGAAATTAATAACAGCCAAGGATTCCATCCTTCATGAAAGAGTAGTCTAGCAAGAGAAACATTTGTACTACTCACTACTCGATCAGCGTTCCCACCAGAGAAGTCGACCTAGGCCGATCCAATCGCACCACTCCCCTTCAAAGTGTCAAGTAACCACTGGCAAAAACCGGAATTTCAGACGAGACTATGCCACTGAAGCGTGACCTTCTTCTGGTGCGTACATGTAAATCGTTAGGGTGTGTCTGAGGTTAGGATACGTCGTGGAAATGAGCAGTTAGTCCCTGGCGTTTCTAGTTCCTCTCTGCGTTTTATTTCGGAAGCAGATTACTGCTTGGAATCGTTGCCTCCTTCGACTTCCAGTGGCTGTGGCTTGAGACTTGTTAAAATGCCATATTTAAAGGAAGTGCAATTCCACATTGTGATTTCGGTAGATCTCGATTAGACTTAGAGTTGAATTTTTGAATATGAAAGGGAACATTGGGTCACGACGCTGAATGATTACAACCATGAAATGGAAAGCTCATAGAGTTGCAGATACCGACAGGTATCAAGGATTATCAAGGATGTGCGACTGTGTTTCAATAATTCAGTGAGTATCACTGCGTAGCTACTTATCGAAGTTTCTCTACATCGTACGAAGTCGTTTTTCGATCATACAGGTAAGATCGGAGTTCAACACATCGGCGGCAACCGCGTTTTGGGAGAAGAAACGCGACAGGCGGCGCGATCTCGAGTGCCTTCGGAATACAAGTGAACTTCATGGACCAACGTGACAATTTTTTTTGAGTCTATTCGTTTTTGCCTTCTTTTAAGAGGAGCACTTGGTGGTCATTCAACGGGTGCGGGCTTTGCATCTATTTGGTAGCAATGAAGGTGCCCATGGTGATCGACTCTTCAAAATATCTCAATTTTTGAAGAGATACTCATCTANACTTCATGGACCAACGTGACAATTTTTTTTTGAGTCTATTCGTTTTTGCCTTCTTTTAGGAGGAGCACTTGGTGGTCATTCAACGGGTGCAGGCTTTGCATCTATTTGGTAGCAATGAAGGTGCCAATGGTGATCGACTCTTCAAAATATCTCAATTTTTGAAGAGATACTCATCTATAGGTCGATAGGTCCTTTTTGAGATGGAATTCATTTCAAGCAGTTCACTTTTCAAAGGAGCACAAATATTGTATAAATTGATCTAAGAACTTATCAAACTTATCAAGCTTTAGCATGGGTGTTACCCTGTGCAATAAACAATTACAAATCTTAAAATCCCGAAACTGAGAGATTTCTTGGGACTACGCCGTGTATATCCTCACTCAGAACTAATTCACCAATTTACTGTGTGGAGAAAAAAGTAACAGAAAATGGAAGTGTAGCTAAATAAAGCATCTTGAGAGGCTTGAACAGGACGTATCTTTAAATATAGACAACTCTAACCCATGTGAACTACGCTGTAGTCAATGTTGTGTTGAAAGCCAGATTTGGTTGGGCCCTACCTAACAGTAAACCCGCTGAGATTATTTCCTGTTATCACAAAAAAAATTCAAAAGAGAGAATGCTACATATCAGATGCAATGGAAACTAAGGACAGAAGGCCAAAACAGAACAAAAGGAGTACATAGAGCTCAGAAAAGGTGGAAGATGAACGGAAGAAGAAGGAAAACGAGTCACTTTGTTAAATTATTATCGCTGTAAAATTTCGCGGTGACTAGTAGTGACAAAGTCAAGAACCACTGAGTTTCTACATAGAAATAATTGTAAGGACATGACGTAGCATTTCCTCATGCTGAAGTGGATTTCTTACAAGGCAGAGCGGAGCTCGTTCAAGAGCCACTCTAACAACTCAGGAAACATAAAACATATAGTCGCTGGTGAAGTGACGCTGTGAAATTTCTTGTTCTGCGGTCGAGAACAATGCCATAAACGTCATGGAAGAGAATGGAATGCGTGGAGATAAGGTTCCACTTTATAAATTGAATGTAAACTGAGTAGAGATCAGGTTTCGCAAGGGCGACGTGTTCAACAGTGAAGAACGAAGGAAGGAAATGATGACAATTTTTTTCTCGGGGGTTTATAGTGCATACTCCATAGTGCATCCTCCGCTATCAACAAAAACTAGGGTCTGGAATCATTGAAAAGACCAGGCGGTCTGTGACTATTGTTCCCGAGCCCCTTCCTCTTGGACAATCGGTATCACTGGTCTGTGCTGATTATGGTGGCCCCGTTGACTAACAATTAGTTAGATAAGTGTTCTATACCGTTTCGTCAACTTCAAGGGATCTACTGCCTGTAGTTGGAAATAAGAGTATGGTCACATCAAAAACCATCGAGTGACAGATCACAATCAACAATTGTAGCAACATCAGTGTATCCCATTTACTCGACTTCATTCCACAGTCTCATAAACGCTGGGAAAAGCAATCAGCTGATGTTTCGAATTAAATTGAAAGATGGAAGACGATTTCATGTGAGGATCTCTAAGAAGTACAAAGACCGAAGAGATACGCCGCAAAATATTAGGGACTCTCGAAAAGTGCTGAAATCACGACTGACAGCTGCTGATTCAGCGCAGTTCAGCAGTGCAAGTTTATCAAGAGGAACGCTCTCCGTCAAAGATGGCCGAAATTAAATCGATCGTTGCAGTTAAACCAACCGACTGCCCTCCACATCACGAACGGGAACGATTCGCAAGGGCATGCCTCCTACTGCTCAAATAATTATTTGGGCCCGTTTTCTAAAATCTACGAAAGGCAAGGAAAATTGCACTAAAGATTACGCGAAGAGTTCGGTGGTGTGGCCAGAGAAACTGGATCCGAGCGATTGAATCAATATTTCGGCAAACATTGACCGAGTTGAAATTCTCCGTCGAAAGGGCAGCTCTTCATTAGCATTATGGAACGCAGTTCCAGCAATGGGATACGTCTACTAACAAAACTTCGTACGAATGGGGTGAGGGGAAGCAAGGAGAAGTCAAGGTGAAAAATTATGAAGGAGTAGGTAAATGGAACCTCTACCAGTTTCACCATCTTACAAGGTGCCTCCTACGAACATTCTGTAGAGTTTGAAATGCCAAGGTTTTGCCTCCTCATGTTTTGGGTTGTAACATAATTTCGTAGGGTTTTGCGTTAGAGTTATTTTACAACGACTTGTTTTGCTTTTTGACGAAGTGTATATATTCACTATCGGAAGAGCTCTTTCTCCTCTACAAACTGTCTTACTTGCTTTTTGGATGATTTAATTGTTCGTCTTTTTTCTGATTCAGAAATGAGATAATATCCAGGAGGAAAAAATCAGCATTTTCGACATCTGCTTTTCTTTGCTTTTCAACGAGGTCAAAAAGGTCGTCGGGACATATGCAGTGTGTACGGGGAAGGTGTCTCAGGTGAGTCTACTGCACAAAAATGGCTCGCAAAGTTTGAAAAGCTCAGATAATCTTCGTCGAATTCTGCAGGTGGCCGCTTCGAGGCGTGTCTTCAAGGTCAAAGTCGCCATTCCTAAATTTTGCGAACCATTTTTGTGCAGTAGACACATCTAAGACACCTTCCCCGTACACGTTGCATATGTCCCGAGCGGCTTCGGTTGTTTTTTGACCTCGATTAAAAGCAAAGAAAAGAGAGAAGGCTGGTGTAGGAAATGCTGATTTTTCCTGCTGAATATTCCATTTTTGTGCCAGAAAAAANAAAAAAGAAAAATCAGGTTATTCAAGAAACAAATAAATGTGTTCGGTAGAAGAGAAAGAGCTCTTTCGAATGAATATATTTTGCTGGAAAATAAATAAAATCTTGTAAAGTAACTCTAACTCAAAACTCTACGTATGTTACAACCCAATATGTTCATGGAATGATGGTGCAGCCATATCATATGGCTATGGCTCCTGGTTACGGTTATTAGAGAACACCAAACTACATATAAAGGCTCGAATAACCGGTTTCAATGTAACTTCTGTTCAATGATCAAAATAAGGGGAGTCAATAAAGTTTCTGCCGCAATTGATTTTACAATATATGAAGAAACAAACCAATCGATAAGCATTGCATTCATTGCAAAAATTCCAATCCTTTTTCTCGTAAAGAAAAATAGAGGGTTGAGGTAGTTCTGCACCACTAACGAAAATAACGAAATAAACAACAACAGCAAAATGTAACAAAAATTTGATGGAAGTTTTTCGTTTTGCAAATCACACTTAGTATAAGCTGTTCTGCTCGATGACAACGTTCCTCATGTTTGCAATAGCCAAGTAACTCCATCTTCGTGAATCTTCAGATATTTCTCGCAAAATTATTGATATTCCCTGTCATTTTGAAACTATGCTCTGGCCATGCCTCCCTTTTGGAAATTATACTGTATTCCAGTACAGCAACCCTTGCGTAATGATGCCTGAATGAATACAAAAATACGAAAGAAATAGGATAATTTAGAAAAAAAGCGACAAAGTACAACAATTATTACTGCAAAGCAGACAATCTTTCGAGAAATTCTTGAATCATAATGTCCAACTTCCATAATTTCCCACGCAAACTCTCATGCCCATACCCAGAGAAAAGATTTCAGCGAATTTCGGGGATGAGATAGAACACCTCGTTCTAAAAGTTTTCTTCGAATGACTGTAGGTCCGAATGGTTCAGCTTTACCACTGATGGCTGATTCAAGCTACTGTTTGTAAGTAACACTCAAATGGGAAGTGAACCCTTTCCGTCCCTTAGTCCCACTAACATTTCATAGCATTAAATTTTTAACATGTTAATCAAACAAACAATATCAAACAACAACAATAACAAACAAAAACGATAGTTAACAATATACAATAAGAACAATGTAGAAATAATATACAATAAAAATACAATTTTTCGCGTTTAACTGTTGTTCACAACCCATTTTCCATTTCCTCCAACTTTCAGTAGGGCGGAGGTGATGTAGTTGCAAGTGGCGCACTATCGCGTGAATGGGTTCAAATCCCGAATAGATTTCCGCCCAAGCCAACCAAGCTTTCCATCCCTTCGGAGTTGTATAATTAGTTTCGGACTCGTCTGGGAGGATAAAAGCACTGACTTGTACATTGGCTGGCCACCGCAAGGGGAGCGTGCTCAGTCTCTGCTTCTGTAGGAAACCGCTAGATTATACATGATTCATCTGAATATCGCCAAATGCTTAACAATCAGTATCACGAGTTACAAGGCAACGAATAGATATTTGATATAATACAATATAATAAAATACAGAGAAAGAGATCGTGGAGGAAATATTCGTGGCGACTAGGGCTTCGCCCACCAGAAAGAGAAAGAATGAGCTGGGCTGCCATCTTTGGTGACGAGCCTCCTCGCTACAGTTATCTTGCTCGGCGCTCCGCCCTGAAATTCTTCGGTGAATCATCTGAAAACATAATCATCTTATCGCCGCGCTAGTACAGCGCTGGTACAGCGCGGCTTACCGCTCGCGCGCACAGCGGAGCGTGCTTCACTTCTGATTCTGTGTAGGACCAGTAGGTAACGACCAATTTATCAGCACATCGTCCAATGAAGGTCAAATATTCAACACAACCAGGTAGAAGCATACAAAGGAATCGAAGAAATATCAACTGCATTGTTTAAAGGTTATCTAGACGCAGGTAAACATAGAAGGAGACCATTCCACTAGGAAGATGGTAGTTGCGGCCAGAGCTTCACTTCCAGTAGTGGGACTGGAACCGTGGATGCTGTCGAGTCCTCGCTTCGCTGCCGCTTCATCATGGCTGCCGCCATCAATCTGCTATGCAACGTCGCACAAGACCGATATAAAAGAGGCTGGTTCGAGACAGCCGGGTCGACTTACTCTGCTCCGCAGCCGTGGATCATCGCCCTGGCCGTATGGCCTCCTCGTCT